CGGCGGTACAAAACGGGGAGTTTTGATTGGAAAATGATTATTGTTTCAAAAAGTTGATTGGAAAATGATTACTGCAAACTTTCGTTGATTGGAAAATGATTACTCCAAAAATTTGTTGATTGGAAATTGATGATTGCCCTAAAAATTAAGCCAGGATATAGTGGCTAAGTGACACAAACCTTCGGCACCTTTTTGCCGTTTTCAGATGGTTTTGCCTTAGAGGGGCCTGAAAATGAAGGGTGGGGGTAGTCCTACTACGGGTATTTTGAATAAATCAAAGATAGGGTGTTTACTTGCCATTGCTGGGTGGGGGTACTGGCCTTCCCGGGAAATGGCGCGCCGCCATGCTCCATGAGGAGGGTCATTGGTGCACTTCATGAATCATGAGAACATATTTTTCTGCATCATATGAAAGTAAACTGTTGTAATACTCATTCATGTTGCAGACTGTAAAGGATTTCATGATATTTATGAGTTTCTGTTCAATTTTCACTGCATGTCATAACGCCAACATGCTGTTGTTAGCGATAAATTCATCGATCTGTTGCGTACAAAATCACAGAGACAAAGGAAAATGTTCATTGAGTTATGTATCATACTATCTATCTTGATTCAACAACTTAATTGGAAAGAGTTTCTTGGAGAATGAGTATTCCATCCATCACTGGTCTTATCGTTCACGCTACTCTGGTCTCCCTCGAGTTAAAGACCTCAACATTTTTGGAATGCTCACTCCGCGCCCTCATTTCCGTCGTAAAACCGTGGACGGAATCAAGAATCTACACAACTCCTCACATCCTCTTGCCTGCTGCGATATTGCAATGGGTTCTCCTGATTCACCTGCATGTCTCTGAGTGATTGTCTTGCTTCTCAGTCGAGATAGGCCCCTTCCACGCTTGAAATTGTTTCAGTGCTCATCAACATTTTGGTATGAGGTATCCCAATCACTTTCCTTACCATCTCCTTCATACCTACACTAAACCTTGTAACTCTTCACTTCCATCGTGCATCTTGATGATATTCATCACATCCAAGTCCCTTTTCTTTCTCAGAGCAGCTTCTTTGCCATTAATTCACCTCCTCAACTGTAAAATTGAAGTTGATGCAGACAACCACTCCGCATGGAATATGACATCTCCCACTGTTATCCGCACATCTTGAAGCTGTGAGCAATCTCATGTCAGTCTTTCAGCATGTCCTGCGTCTCGTGATCACATAAGGATGACGAGATCTTGTGCTGTGGTGTCTTCAAATCATCTGTTCCGGCGTCAATCTTGTACTCACATGTTTCTCTCGTGCTGGTGCATGGCGATTCATACCGTGTCTGTTCACTTTGCAAATGAGTCTTTAGGCCTTTCTCCAACACTCAGCAGGATTATTTTCCCCTGCACGATGATTCTTAAACGTTCTAGGTGATGTTTTACCCTGTTTGGAAGGAAAAAATGTGAAAAATATTTCTGAACGACACAATCGACGAACCATTTTTTCACAGTTTTCTCCAACAAAATGCTAGAAAAAGTGACTAATGAAGACGAATAACATGCGATTACGAAGAACATTTCACGTGGAAACAGTTTGAGGCGCTACTTGCGTGAAACAGACATGAAACAGCCAGCTCCAACATCCGTCTGATGAGTGGTGGCTTCGGATGAGTAGTAATGAAGCAACTGTCATCAGGGCCCATCAAGTACTCAAAACTCTATGCATGAACTATGCAAGATACATGTAAAGATGTGGAATTGTGACCATTCCTTAACCCAGAAGAGAACGACTTCGTAGACCATGTTCTTCCGCGTGCAATTTCTATCAGAATACCAAACTTGAAATACGGCACGAAGAAAATTATGGAAAAAAAACACAGACATGCGAAGATCCAGCTTGAATACGCTTTGTATTGTTAATGGATATGTTGGTCAATAGGGTTCACTACTGTTCAGCGATGTTTCCATGTCTCGAAGTGGATGTACCACGAAGAATTCTTCAGGCACACGTCATTCCAACGAAATTCATCCCAATATGTATTCGACGCATTGGCCTCGCAACTGAGGCAACTTTGGTGCTCATTTCGAATGCAACGGTTGCCTATCATGTATAGGAAGCAATCTATAATATTTCCAGCTTCACGGAGATCATCACATGTGAATGCCACAACTTACAAACCTCAAAATTGTCGTATTCTGTAATTTTCGTCATTTCAGTGGAAATTGAGTTATTGAAATCAGCCAAAAGATTGAAAACTGATCTTGACTAGTCAGGATGGTCTTCTATCTGAACTATTACGAAAGAATCAAGCGAAATCGCGCACCGCGGACGCAACAGCAACACAGAATAATTGGATGGAAATTTCAACGATCATGAACAAAACATGCAATTTTGTTGGAAAGCCTTCACTTTGGAAGCTTGTAGAATCTCAACGGATGCATGAAACAGAATGGCGTTTGCAGCCCCTGAAAGCGCTTGTCCTCTTCTATCCTTCCCTGCCATGTTTTCGTTGAGACCAGCGCACAAAGGGTGCTGTATGAGGGGCAAAAAGCCGTGGGTCGAATTCGGCCCACGTGGGCCGAATTCGACCCATGTGTCACTTAGCCATTGAGAGTGGCACAAGAAGTTTCAACAGTGACTTTGATGAGTAACGGAATTTTTTAGTGACCGTCGGACGCGCGGCTGACATCCGCGCGTTGAGTTAAAAATCGTACTAGATCCTCTTATCGGTGCTCCCGGCCGCGGCACACACAGGCGGCGGACTCGGAGCGGTGTCACGGTCCGTAACTCTGTGATTCCGAGCGGGACTGCCGCTCGGAGGGCACCGGGTCTCGGAGACTCTGACCGTCGGACTCAGCAGCTCAGCGGCTGGTCTTTAAGCCTCATACTACCCGATCCTTGAACCCCTAACAGCAAGGTGTCTCTGTGAGTAGGCTACTCATCTTACTGTTCTCGCTCTTTCTTACCTCAGCTGTAGGTTTCTTCCAAACAGAGTTCTTACACAAATGATGACATCTCGGCAACGATCCATGACTTGCTGACCGCAACTTTCCTTGTTACGACGCGGCATTGTCTGATTCTTGAACTCTGCATGGCTGAACAGAGACACTGACCAGCATGACACCTGAATGCTGATAGCTTCGAATGCAATGTGATCCTTAGTCAACACGTTTTCTGTGCATATGCGATATGCTAGCTTGAACCTTGTTGAGTATTGTCTCTTGTTTGCTGACTTTGTAGGGAAAGTTGGATTTGGATCAGAAAACGCACCAGGTATCCGGATGGGCATGGTTTGGAGGCAGCTTGCATAAGTCGCAGTTAACAGGTAAGGGGTATGTTGAATGCTTTGGTTGAAGCTTGCATCTGTTTTGTTCCTGAACAGAAGAATATCAAAACAGTTCTACATAAATGTATTTGTTTGATTGATAGTTTGGATAATAAATTCCTAAAGCAAGCACGGCTGAGTTCTCATAAACGAGGCCAAGTATTATGCCACACACTGTGATAAGTGAGCACGTCCTGAGCACCATTATGAGCTTTCTAGGATAGTAAATATCCATTCATTGCTATTCGACGCATCACACCTTTAAATGGTACACATTCTTACACACAGCGCGTGAGATATATACGGTAAGATTCTCCTAGCCGCATTGTTTCGCGCACTGAAAATTTGGATTTCGTTTGAAATACCCCAAACTCGGCAGATTTTACAAGTCTCGGTCTACCAGTCACCGCTCGCGCTTCGGAGCAGCAGACGCGTTCGATCCAATGTTTGATGGGTCTTGCAGGGAGCGATCTGAAGCTGTTCTACTGCCTGAGGCATTCACGCCTAAAATTCTAGGTCAGGAGGCAGCAAGAAAAACATCCAAAGAGCACCTGATTGGAATGAAGTGAGGGAGTCGTATCGACTTCGATGCGGTCTCATCCTGCGTAGAAAATTCAGCGCTGATGACGAATGCTAGTGGATGCACTACAGTGAGGTGGTAACTGTCTGCTCAAGCCAAGGATCACCTGGCCACACCTTGAAAGCAACATCACATAATTCACAGAAGTAAGATATGACACCTTTCTTATGTCCATTCCATTTATGCGCCTCCACGTGGCGGTCGAGAGTGTCAAAAACAAGAACATCAAACCAGAGAAGCAGCAGCACGATATTCCCACGAAAGCCCACGAATCCTTCTCAGAAGGAAAGACTATGAGAGCACCAATAATGATGAATCCTGCTGTGCAACATAGGGCAAACAATAAGCAAGTTGTGGGCCATCCAAACAACCAATGGCCATATTGCTACGAAAACATTTCAGTGATCAGGATTTCAACCATGATGCAAATATACCTTTAAAAACCAGAAAACATCTCTTTCAGAAGGAAGAAGATTCAACTGTACACTCAAAAGAATTGCCAGCATCAAATTAACCATCGAAAGTGCAAGTCCCAAACCAGCAAACCAAAAGTATGCTCGAACAAGATCGCATACCTGCAGATATCGTACTGCATGGTCTGTCGAAGAGCAATTTGATGGAGGCCCTTCTAGAGAAGGAGGATACATGAATGCAAAAAAATCTAATGCAAAGATCAATCCCCCCATTAGCGCACTGGTACGAAATGCTGTTTGTAGACGGAGCCTCACTTCTTCACCTCCGACCAATTGTCCTATTCTTGGCCAACCCCATACTTGATATCTCTCAATAATAGCTGATCTCCATTGGCCTATCTCATCCAAACCAGGATGCAGAGCTTCGCGTAATTGTTGTGGATATTCCCCTCCATCTGCTGCGTAAAGTATTTCATCGTCCTTAATGAGATACAAGTTATCCACGGGTGCTCCATATCTGGTGTACAATGAACATCTTCCACTCTTATAACCAAATCGCACAGAAATGTGCTCAAGCATAACTTCTAAGGTATCAGGTACCAACATCATGAAAGTTAGGGAGCAATCGCCTTCGAGATCTTGCACCGTCACACGTCTAGTTCCAGCCTGTGTATACAAGGATCCATATTTATCTTCTTCTTCCGAAGATGTTTCTCGGGAAGGATTTGACAAATCTGAATTTCCTCGAGCGACGGAGGGCCTTTTGGCTGTTAGGTCTGGGGTGGGGTAAGCCGTGTTCTGCATTGCCATGATGAATTTCAACAAAGCATCTTCGCACAGTACAAATTAGTCCAGGAACATTCCAAATGAAACTTTTGTTGAATTTAACCTGGCCTATTGTAAATGAAACTCGGTGGAGTGGATTATCTATCAATTTTGCTATTAGACCAACTATTGTCAATCAGATCGAATTATCCCCAGGCCTTAAACACAGCAGCGGTATTCAGTTGTAGGTGATGTGGCGTTACGACGAAATGGTTTTTTTAAGTTTCTATCGACCGCCTGGCACAAAGGAAGCAGAAAAAAGCAAACTGAAGGATGTCAGTTGGAGCAATTGCGGGGAGTTCAATAACCACAGGGGGGCGAGCCTAAGACGAAGGTATGATTATCTATGAGCTGAGGGGTTGTGTGTGATTTATCTTCTCGTCTCAGCCTCTCAGCTGCACCTGCACGTCGCTTGCTGTCCCATCTGTGCCATTGCGCCGCCGCTTCGGTGCAGAAAAAACTGATTCTTTCATTTGGGATGGAAAATTGGTTTCGTGCATAACATAACATTTCAAATTTTATCAAGTAATTCATGAAATTCTCCCCCAAAAACCAATATTTAATTGGGACTCTCTATTTTGAACAGTTCAGGCACATTTTGAAACTGGTGGCTCCAATTGGACCCCAGATTTGTCGTTTGCAACAGAAGTGGTTGAGGAAGTTGCGATTGTAACTGTTCTTGCAGCGGTCGTAACGGTTAAACACGCCAGCATGAAATTCTTGGCATGGAGCAGAGGCGGATCGAGTAGGGAAATGTGATAAGAGGAAGCTCAGATTTCTTTGTTGATCAAACACATGTTCTTACGGACAAAACTATCTTCATTCTCGTTCGTACTCTTAATTTTCCTAACAAAGAGATCACTCTCTCAATTGTCAATTGAGGGCATCCAAAACAATGCTGCGATCTTGGACGCGAATATTGATGTTTATTTGGGGATGAATAATCTCAGCGACGGGCCTTACTCTATCAAAATTAATATTGGTGGTGAGATCGTAATGAACAGCAAGGTTCAGCGTTGATTTCATGACAGGTAATCTGATTGTCTCAGCAAGTTGGTACTACAAGTCAGTCCAAGAAAACTATCTTTTCTTCTCCTTGCCGGATCTGTTTGAAGGAACGTACTTCATGGACGTACAGATGTATGGGTTGCATGTTGAATTGACTGAGAGTATCACATTTCACGTTTGGAACACGTTCTATGACACCGACTTGACTTATGCCGCAGCCAACGAAGTTGTGCCCTTTGGGTGACTAGTAGCTTGAAAAGTTTACATGAAGTGACTCCAAACAACAGGATCTTGAAGGATGGCGAGTACAATTCAAAAACGTACAGCTCCATAGCGTGCATGGGTGGGGTGCAGGTCGCATGGAGTTACTGCAGGAGATTTTGACTAACAGCTTATCAGCCCTACCCATTCAAACTTCACTCTGCAGGCTTCAAAGTTTGACATTTGTTGCACATACTCGTTCTCAAAATGTTCTAGGATGATGGTTATGGGCCGGATGCGATTGGACAACGAGTGTGTCGCTTTTCCCACGTCTGCTGGGCAAGAGGTGGATGCAAGAGCACTACTTCCATCGCTCAGAAATATTCGTTGATAGTTGATGAGACTGGCTGAAATCGATTTTGTCTTAGGACAGCTTATCTACTTCAAGGACCCACAGACAGTGAATTTCTCTAGTGTAAGTGCGGGAGGAAGAAAACAGTCGCTCTTGTTCACCATAGATGCATTCAGTGGCCGATTTCTCATCGCCACGGATTTTTGCATCTCTCGTACCTTGATGTGAACCGAAGTAACAACAGAATCTTTGAAGTTAGTAATGCATTTGACAGTCTTTCAGATCAGGATGATCTGGAAAATGTAAAAGCATGGAGCCCTTTTGTGATGCACGAATCCGTTCCGAGATGGTTTCAAACCCTAGATGTACCTATGCTCGGGAGCAATTTCTGCTTCAGTCTCTGACAGTTGTACAGGTTGATCTCAGCTTTCTGGACGCACCTTCCTTTGGCGACAATTTTGGACACTTTATCATGGACAATGTGCCGCTGTAGATGGCACAAAGGTGAGGTGAACTATGATGCCAGGTGGTATCAATCATGCAAGCAGCCAGCGCTTTTGGACATGAGAGCTTGATTGATTCTCAGGTAAATCGTCGGAAACACTGTATGACAGGAAACAGAATGTTTTGAATTCCCTGCAGGTCTTGCTTCTCAGCAAGTGCAGACTGCCTGGTTCGTTGGATGGAACGTGGGTTTCGTTACAGACATTTTCATCAAATAATTCTCTCACGGATTTTTCAGATCGCGTGCTGGAAATTGTAGGAAGAATTATAACGAGCTCATGCGTGTTTTCTTTCATCGTCCTGTGCTGCATCTCGATGTGAAAATGTTCCCTTCCCTTGTCTTTGTATTGATTGGCGCACAGGAATTATCGTCTTCCAATGGCATCTGCTTCCGCAATCTGATCGCAGGTCATGCTTCAGCGTGAGTCTGCGCTGCCGGCCCTTGTACAAACTCACTTGCATCTCAGGTTTTCTCTGCGCTTCCAGTATCCAAGATCTTCCGTCCTCCGAGTTTTCCGAGACTACACGTATCGCCAGCTCGGGCTCAAACTTCCTCAGCTGGAAACAAAGGAGGCGGGCGCGTGGCGCGTGCCATCTCTGCTGGCTTGCTACAAGGTGGCTCGAGGAGCCATGAATCCTCCTCACTGGCCGAGTGCTTGCGAGGATGTCCGTGTTATCTTGGCACAGTTTTCCACGCCCATCGACTCTACCTGCATAAATCCTGCATCCCTCCCGCTGACTGGACAGGTGATGACGTCCCAAACCGCCGGCACCAGCTGAGACACGAGCAGGTTCAAGCAGTCAAGCAGGCAACCACGATCCTCAGTGAGCACGGAACAGTCTCGTATGTAGCCCTCTTTGCTCGTGACGGACTACCGCTTGTCGTCGTCGGGAAGCCTCCCATGAAAGAAGCACACGTACCTGCAGCAGAGGCTTGTCACCATCTCACTTGCGCACCGCAGGTTCTGCTGCAGATGACTCACGTGTATACAGTGTATGTCGATGTTGCGGAAGGACAGGAGGGGATCAAGGCAGCTCTCCTCGTTGTCCTCAAAGTTGGTCGTCCGACTTGAGGGTCACTTGGAAGCAGTGTCTACCTAGAAACCTGAAACCTAGATGGAAGAGTGTCTACCTAGAAACCTGAAACCTTGTCTCTTCTCATCTCTCGCTCGCTACCTTGTGGTGGCAACAGCATCCTCATGTGGCTCCCCATGCCTGGCCATCCTACCCTGATCCTTTCGGCACCGGTCGGCAGAACCAGAACTACCCTTCTTTTTGGGGAGGGTGGGTCTGGGACGATGGCAGGGGTGATGAAGGAGAGGAGGGTGGGGGGTCCCTCGTTGTTGCTGCTTCCTCCTTCCTTGCTCTCAACTAGGCTCGTGACTCTTGGACCTCTCCTGACCTCTGAGTGATCAGGCGCTCATGAGGGGGGAGGGACTAGCGCTCATCTCCTTCCTGAGCCTCATTCTTGTCCTCTGTGCACAAGTAGAGAGAAAGAGGTGAGTGCCTTGGTGGCATCAACTTCGACGCTGGCTCATCTCCTGTTGTTCAGAGTCGAGGTGTGTCCCAACGAGGGGTGCAAGCAGGCAGCAAGAGCGGTTGTTGTTCGTGTCTTGATAGCAGTTGGAGCCGCTGAGATTGTTGTTTGTTGCAGGACCTCAAGGTTTGTGATGGGATCTGCAGACAGTACTACCCGCAGGTAAAGAAGAAACCTTTGGGCGGACCTCAGAGTTTCTTGCAGGTTCGCAAGTTCATTAACGACAATCTCAAGAGCTACCCAAGTCTGGGCCTGAGCCTTTACGATGACGGCAGCCTGAGCCCTTCCATCACCTTCTTCAACGACAAGGTTGTCTCTTATGTTGGTCTTAGGTGTTGACATGGGCCCTTGCTAGGGTGAGGAGATCGAGAGTGTAGAAGGTGAGTGCCTGGCGGCGCAGAGACATTGTAAGCGTTGGCATGTCAGTGGCTGGCATGTATGCGCATGAGATGGAAGAGGAGTTGCAGAGCCGGGGGATTCTGACGCTGTGAAAGAGACTAAGTACAAGACGTGATGGGGCTCCTCTGCTTCAATCCAATTTGATCATTTACGTGACGAAAGTTCAAGGTGTACAGACAAGACAAGCTATACTGCATCTGCCTTGAGAATCTCGAAGATCATCATCCTCCACAACTGCAAACATTCTCGTCACGCCTTTCTTGCCCTGGATAATTAATAAGTACCTTGACAACAAATATTTGCGAGTCCGAGTCGAGAATTCCAGTCACTTCTTGCAAAATGTCCTGTAAGCAACATCAAATGCACAATCGACATCTATATCTACAGGACCTGCGGGGTTTTGTGCTGTTTTATCATAGCAATGATGTAGCCGGTCAGCGTAGGCTCCTCCTCACCCTGGGGTCCACCATTAGGTGAGAGAAACTCTCAGAGGAAAGCTCATGATCAAGTCAACTGACCAGATATTCAGCAATTTTCTTTTGAACCCACGGCTGAAGCTTTGTGTCGGCCAACTTGTATCTGAAAGAACATGAAACGAGCAACACCAACCACGTATGCAGATGTACTTGTCAAGCACTTCCCACTTGACGGGAAAGGCAAAAAGCTCCTCGATTTCTGTGGGAATTTGGTCGATGATGTTCTTTGCAGTTTGTGCATCCTTCTTCTTGTCAACGTCGAGGGCATGCTCGCCTTCATCCGCGATTACACTAAGTCGAGAGAATAACACGCGGATACCATAATCAATGCGTTCGATCTTCATCTTCTTTCGCTGCCGCAGTACATGACCTGACATCAAATATAGAAAGAAAATGGCATACTTGTTGTTTCTCGCGTTCTCTTTCTTCCTCCTCTTCGTCCGCATTGAAGAGCTGATTACAAGGTGTCAGTAACCTCATGCATTGACATGGCATGCGGAACCGAAGTAGGGGCAACTTTCGCAGAGCTGCTCTTCTTCGCATTCACTCCAACACCTAACTGAAGCAGAAGCATGAGCATGGCTAAACCTATCCACAATTCAGCATCTACCTTCAAGCCCAAAGGCCCATCAACTTTCAAAATTGCTGATTCATCCACAGATTCGCCAACTTCTTGCTTCCCAGCATTATCTTGCTCAGATGGGTTCCGTACCTCACCAAGTGCGGATGCAAGGAAACTGATTCCAAATGTCAGTATTGAATATACAAGAACAGAAAAAGCAAAGCAACTTCGAAGCTTGCTCAGGGTCGCTTTGCTTTTCACTGCGGCGACTTTTTCTGCGGAATCATCTTATTGACCCTAACATTCCATCCCAATAAGAATTACCTATCTTTTTCTCTTTCCTTATCTTTCGCCCTGTCCCTGTCCCTGTCCCTGTCCCTGTCCCTGTCCCTGTCCCTGTCCCGTTCTCGATGCTCGCGCGAGCGATCGCGTTCACGGTCACGAGATCTGGAACGACGTCTGACACACTCAGTCACGCGTGAAATCATTGATCGATACCAGTGGAAAACCTGTCTCGTGACCTGGATTTGCGTCTATCCTTGTGTCTGTCTCGTTCACGCGACCTGGTAGGGTGGGATCACGTCAGGTAATTGGACCTCAGATCAGATCAAATTTGAAAGACATACCTATCGCGACGATCCCTATCTTTCTCTCGATCTCTGTCTCTGTCGCGTTCCCTATCTCTATCCCGATCCTTGTCCTTTTCCCGATCCTTCTCCTTCTCCCGATCCTTCTCCTTCTCCCTGTCTTTTTCTACCATGTCTTTTTCTCGATCTTTTTCTCGGTCTTTTTCTCGGTCTTTTTCTCGGTCTTTTTCTCGGTCCCGGTCTCTATCTCGATCTCGATCCCTGTTGCGAACCCGGTCTCTCTCGCGATCACTGATAATGAACATCAGAAACAAGCATTGCCCCCCAGCAGAACATGCCGCTCTCGGTCTTTATCACGGTCACGACCGGAACGCTCCTTGCCCTCTTCTTTTGGATCTGCAGTTGCTGATTGCAATCTACGTTCAACAGCAGCAACAATTCCATCCTTTTGAAGACTATTTCTTGTGTTAACTTACGGAGTCAACACAACATAGATGTTTACCTTTCGTAGAAACGTTTCAGCTCCTCCACCACGCGCACGTCTTCGTCCTGAAGTTTAATCGATCACAAGAAAGCCTAAACGCACAAATAGGGGGGAAACGCCGACCGCCTGAGATTTGTCAAAATCTTCAATATGTGCGGCAGCGTCTTTCTCCTGCAACAAATCATTGAGTCGTGTACCACAGAGCAAAATCAATGAGCCCACCTTCACTTGCAAAAGAATAGCCTTCTTGCGAACAACAAAATCATCCAAATATGCCTATCGAAACAAGAAAGATTAGGCCACCTTCTAGAATGAATCCAGTTTGATCAAACTTGAGTCTTTGAGTCGACTTTGACCAAGAGCTCAGCTGGTCCAATCTACGAAGATCCAAATCAGGAGCGGGCAACCAGGTAGGCTAACGCAGATCAAATACAAGCCTGAAGTCGAAATAGAAAGTAGAGGATGGAGCACACAAAGCATGGTTTTCACCTTATATCCATTGAGCAATCGCAAAGCACGCATGACGTGTTCAGCCTTCTCATACTGTTCAAGTGAGTACCGCAAATGAAATGGCAAATCTATGAACCTCACAAAATCCAAATGCTTTCGGCTTTTTGGTTTCTACATCTTCCACGCGCTTCCATGAAACGACTGTGCCGCATATCTTTGCGTAAAGTGTTATTCAATAGGGCCGAAAAAGGGAGAAAAACACAAATTTTGAACAATCGAACAATTACATGGTATCAACATACTACAAAGATGATGGTAATGATACAAATATTAGAATTCCATTCTGCATCACACGAACAAATAATTTGAGCATTCAAGTCAAGACCCACGTACGTGGAGTAGCCCAGGTAATGCATAGATTGTCATCATCGAAGCAGTTCTTCAACATCGAAGAAAGCAAGCGGGGAAATCATACTACAATCATCCTTGCTATACATTAGTCTCCCACAAGCTTACACGCTCCTTGCCACAAGATACTTCACCACAAGTTCATGATCAAACCTTACCTCAAGTAATTCCTTCACTTTGTCATCCGGAATTCCTTCAGGAATTTTTCCCACGTAAAGTGAAGTTTTCTTTTCAACCCCTGTGTTGGTGAATGATTGAACAGTGTTGGTTGTTGGCGGCGGCGGCAACGATATCTGGGTGGTTGGCGGTCTCTGTGCTGACCTGTTCACCGACACCCTTCTCATCAACAAAGAGAACCTGAATATGCGGTGAAACCATGGGAGTCGCAGGGGGCATCGCCTTTTCACACACGGTATCATTGAATCAGAAAACCGTCCACTTCGCGCAAGCTGCTTCACCTGATATGCAGGATATCCTGGGTATCCTTGAGGAGGGTATCCATATGGTTGAGGGGGGTAGCCTGTGTGCAGGTTTAGCTGCAGGAGGTCTTCAATTCTGACGAGCTAGTGGACCGTAGGGCTGAGCAACTGGAGGATACCCTGGATATGCCTGACGCAATTGAAATCAACTGAGTGAAGTGTGTAACTAGTCCACCTGTTGAGGATACGCTTGTTGTGGAGCATATGCTGCATCGGCAATCAAAACTAAATGCAAGGAGGCAAACTGATTGGCACGCACTCGGCGGTACGTAGCCTGCCGGTGGTGGTGCTGGTGCGGCCTGAGGATTCGGCGGTGCCACGGTCCCTGAAGGGGACGGATAAGAAGCTCCACGCATATCGAGGAGAGAGGCAGGAAGTGAGGAAAGGCGGAGAGGCACGAGATGAAGCAGCAGGGCATGTAGGGGGATGGAGGAGGAGGAGGGGGCAGGGGTCTGCCCCGCCTCTGACCTGCAGGGACGGAGCCATTCGTGGACATGCCGTCGGCGCGTGTGATCACGTGACCAGGCATTTTCAATATGTTTTTCATATGATACATACATATTCAAATTTAGTAGAAATATTTGATATTACATTCAAATAAAAATCATGATAAATCTTGAAATAATATCTGTGACATTTGAATTTTGTAGAGAAATTTCGCTTGGCACACCAGCTTCAAAGCTCAAGAGCAATGCAAGAGGAGTGTGGAGGGATAAACATGAAAATGAACAGGCAAGTGGATCCCATACCTCGTACAAGGTATGGTGAGCATAGATGTGAGTTGTGAACAGGTTTCCATGTTCAATCGTGTGGCAACCTTTCCCTCCGCTCACTTGGATTATCCCGATGATAGGACATACAGGCATATGGTGAGGAAAATGTTTTTTTGCCGAATTCACTGATTTTCATGCAGTGATTCCCATGGAATTGTACATGATTTTCAGGGTCCTTATTATGTTGAAGAAGGAAGAATGATGCTTGGCAAGGTCTTCCAACTTTGCTTCTTGTTGCTTTCCCGCGATAATCCTGCCTGTAGGCAACTAGGTACCTCCCACTCGATCCAAACAAAGTGAGATCATCTGTGGAAGGCAATACGGCAGAAGAGCGATGGGACAAGTGTGTTGATATGGTAACACCGTTGATGAATGATATTGTCCGCTCATTGCCATGCTGAATACAGGGGGCGGATGACTTTCGAAAAAAGATACATTGCTTGATCTACCCAAACTGCAATCATCACGTGGCGCATACTCTTAATCTCATGAAATACGATGGCTGGAATAATTATGAAATGCTCCAGCTTTGGTACATCATTTTCTTTCGGGCAAGGTCTTTTCTTGCCTGAAACTTCGCATTGACGACTCACGTTATTTTCTGGGAAGGTTCTGTGGATTCAAGGGCTTTTTGATATCCATGGGCCCATTTATTGTTCTGGGCACCATTGTAAACCGTATGGAAATCTTTATGCGAAATTCTGAGAGTGCTGCAGTTGATCTCTCTTTTCCTCTCGGGCTCGTGGCCTTTCAAAAAGAGCAACTAGAGTTCTCCAAAGCTGCTCGTGATTGTGTGATGTCCGTTGGGTGCTACAATAGCACTGCCCATGCTTATATAATCATCTAGTGATGAAAATGCGCGTGCATGTTACAGTATCTTAAAAGATGTTTGCGTTTACTGTTTGTCCTACACAAGCAGAAGAAGGTAATCTGTCTCACTTCTTGTATGTTGTGGAATAGCATTAAATTACAATAATTGTTGACCTGCTCTCAATCGTCCAGACTCAGTTCAGGGAAAGTCAAGTCTTCGTAGTGCTCCTTCAAATCGTCTCCATCTTCAAAAGCATGCCATTCTTTAGAAGTTAAGTTCATCTCAGGTTCAAATGTGGGGTATGAGGGAAAGACAAGCTCTTCGTTGGATGCACAGTTGTCCTCCAGGAGTTGATGAGTGTCCCGCAATACGCTTTCGCAGACTGGATCCGAGAAAGCAGGCTCCTCCATCCAGCGAGTTGCGCCATCAGTTGCATCATCAACCTTCTGAGCGGCAACAGAGAATTGTGACACTTGTGCTGATGACGCTATGACATTCTGCCTACGAGGGAAAGAGGTATTCGAAGACTTACCCAGAGTGGCATTCAACCTGCTGTTAGTGATATCTCCCAGTGCCTTTCTCGTTGAGGACTTGCTTCGGTTGCCTTGTCCTGCATTCACATGTTGTTGGATGTGCATTTTACCGGACCTTCCAGTAGCTGGCTGGTTCTCGACATCAAGAATTAAATCGTTCATCTTCGAATACAACCTGTGATAGCAAAATGTCATCTTCTCCAGCCTGTGACAAATCACTCTTTCCAAATCACATCCTTCTTTACAAGATATGAAATACTTTCTAGTTCAAGCAGGCTGGTAACAAAAACACGCTTCCTCCTCCTCCCTCCCTCCCTCGCTCCCTCCCTCCCTCCCTCCCTCCCTCTATGATCTCACCCTCCAGGAATCTTCGCTCTAGTCCTTCCTTCGCTCTAGTTCCTTCGCTCGCATCCTCACCCTCTCTCTCAACGGCAAATTGTGCTTTGGTGGGTTATTAAATTCAAACCCTAGCTAGACGGGGGGTGGGTGGTCAAGTTCTGAGGCGCACATGTAAACTGACCTAAACTGATTAGAAAGGCCGCCGGCCCCGGTGCGGTGCCGGTGAACGGGCCCGGCTGGGCAGGCTTGGTACAGCAGTGTGACTCGGATTTCAAATGTTGGCAAGGGAAGGAAACTTGCGAGGGCAGCAGGAGATTTGAGGCTCTTGGTGCTTGAGATCAAGACATGGCCTACCTCGGCCATCCTCCGAGATAGTTACCACTCCTGGGTCTGTCCTCGAGCCTGAGCATGTCTTTCCTCAAGGTGTCTAACACAGAACAAGAGAATATTTGACAAATCAGAAGAATGGAAAGGAAACGTGAACGCAAAGAATTTTCTGAAATGTGCAACTTTTGGAACCAGACAGCAGCAGAACGAGCAGGTGCTATAAGACACATTCCTTTGCAGCCAGGGATACAAAATTCACAGAAAATAAAGGACTTGACATTGCAAAGGGAATTGGGTCCTGATCTGAGAATCCCCTTCAAGCCCTCAAGATTGACGAGCAAGATTCCACGTGTGCAGCAAATGTCTGTTCAACTTTGCTCTAGAATCAGGGATCACAATCACAGAGGTGAAGAGTGTGCACGAGCACTTGCTACTCTGTCATTGGGTCCAAAAGTTTTACGTGCGATGAACCTGCCGATTCCTGCGCACTTGGCAGCCTCACAAATACAATCCTCTTGGCGGGGGTTTGCCACGAGAAAGGTTCTGCCAGTTTTGATTTCCCATGCACACAGAATTTGCATGTTAGTAGAGCGTCATAGAAAACGATGTCTTTCAAAGGAAGGAATATCTGAGGAGTTGTTGGGTAAAAATGTTCTTGGTTTTGCCAACCTTGAACACTATGACAATCCTTTCAGTCAAAAGGAGCTCAAGGGCAAACTCAGACTATTGTGGTCGTCAAAAAGATCAATTCTTCCTATTCCCTGTGAGCTAAGAAACGATATTCCGTACAGATCTGCATCAATAGATGTACACATTTGTATTTGTTTCGTGACTAATTTCATCTCGTTTCACGTTGGCAAAGGCGAGTTTGGACGAAACAATGATGTTGATGGCTCTGCATCATCGGCACTGATATTACAAAGGCTGAATGCCATCGTAGACAAAGATCATGAGCACTTGATTCGAAAATTGCAAGCATGTTTTCGAGGGTGGTCTGTGAGAAAAATGCTTTTTGGAACATGTTTGTCATTTCCCGGGCCTGTAAAGCATTGTATTCGAGATGCGATAAAGAGAAGGTGTGCAGGACTCGTTATCTTGAGGTTCTTACGAAAGATGGTATGGGGTATTCATTGGATGAAAATCAAGCCAATTGTCGTGCAACTTATGGACATTGCAAAGAGTCAAAAAACATTTTACATGTCTCTCGATCATTTATACCGTACTGTGTGGGTACCCCTAGAAAAAGTAAGACATGACATTCGAATGATGATAAGGGGGGGGTTTGCTGAAATTCTTTGATTGCAGAGAGCTTCAAGCAATTTGGAGTGCAACACATTAGAACCAACATTTGAACTTGGCAAGATTTACGTTCCGAACTTTCCGCAGATCACACCAAGAGATCTTGCGGTTATGTTTGGTGAAAAAGATCAAATATGTGTTTGTCTTTGTCACATCGCGTGTACAGGTAATTTTACTGAGCTGCGCAGTATTGTGCTCCATCAATTAAATTCTGTAGCTGCTTGCATTGCTGGTAAATTCTTGCCTGTTGCTGACAGATCGCTGATTGTACATTAGGAATTCCTCGTCTAGATCTCAAAAAGATTCTCCAAGTGAATGAAAGACTTCTCGTTGCCTTGAGCCAGTATACATCAAACTTTCCACAGGTCTAAAAGTTATTTCCTGATTGTTGTTTGAAATGTGTTGTGAAAAACCATTTCTGGATAGGCCATGCTTCGGCTATTCGAATTTCGTCAGCATGATGGATTCGAACTTTGGATGGCAGGTACGTAGAATATCCCAATGTCTTTAATCGTTCACATGTACTGTATACAGGGCTGGAATGCTCAATGGAAAAATCTCTCATTTCTAACTTTATGGGTAAGTTGCTGATTAGGAATGAGATGTATATCATATCAGTAAGTCTGTTCCTGTACATAGACCCAGTTGAGCACCTCGACGCTTCTCTGTCGAAGTGAATTATCCTTTGAGTCTATGCCTTTGGCCCATTGGTTGATTGGATCAATCCAACCGCAGATTTGCAAGGCTACGTGATTTACTTATGCACCATGATCGAAGGCATTCCATGGTCCGCTGCGCATGATTTTGTCCTTCAGACTCCTTGATTCGAAGTCCAGATCCAAATCCATGTCAAGAATGGACTGCAAATAGTTGGACAGCTTCGTTATCGTAAAGTAAGTTGTTAAATACTTGAACTAATCGGTGGTCTCAGTGACAGTCATATTCAGAGAGATTGTCACTCCATGCTAAGACTGCTACAGCTTTCTAGACAGGTAACTTGCTAGATTTTCTCCGCCGCTGGTACTGGGTGTCTCACAGAAATTGAAGTTTACAGGAGACATTGCATTTGCGTTAGTAAAACCTCATCGCCGACTTATCCGGAGTAAAAAGGTTTTGATGATCTACTTTTGTGCATATACCTAGTGCTTTCAGGTAAAAGCAATCTCCTATACTACGTGTACGTGTGCAATCAACACGGATGGATTGCAACATGATGGTAAATTCTGTATTTACTGCAATGAAGCCTGCAACCATAACTCGACGAGAACAGGTCCGGAGAGCCATTTGTTACTATTTCTCTTTAACGATATCTTGCTTGGCACCAGAATTCGTACCAAGGTAAACAAAACATTTCATCTGATCTGTGTGAAACTTTACAGACTCTCCCTGATGGAACCATGACACCGGTCAAAAGACAACAGAGCCAGGTTCATTGATTATGGATAAGCTTTCTTTTCATTATCATCAGCATGAGGCTTATGGAGCACAAGAACTACCTCCACTCTTGGTAGAGCCAATGCAATACGAAAGTGCTATATTGATTCAGCTGCTTGAGGCTTCGGTAAAACTAATGAGTGGGACTACCAATGCTGGGCTTACGAGGATTCCATAGATAGTCAATCAAACAGTGCAAGAAGAGGACTTCAAATTGACAAGAATGCATGTGCATATTGAAGACAATCACGGACAGGTATCTCTTGTTGCAAAGATCTTCTGCTTCATCACAATGCTGGAGGTACTTCTCTTTGAGGTGCAAAACGGAGAGGATCATCAAATCTGGTTGTCAGAGCTGTCTGCAGCAATTCAGGTACATCCGAATCCCCAATGTATTAATGATTGTTCTCCCAGTCCGCAAACTCTCAATTGACATCACCCTACGAATTCCCAACTTGGTCATAATGGTGTACCCTTCATTCTCAGATGGATACCCCTCTCCATTGGCCTTGTCACAGTGAAAACGCACATAGATTGATGGGTGCTGGAACTGCACGCGTGGTCCAAGATATCTCTAGATTTTTGAATGACTTCCTTTTTGGATTATTACGACTCAGATCATGAAAAAAATTCTTAGCGTCTCCCTCATTACCTTTTGAAAGACTTTGACGACACTAAAATTGTTGAATAATCGTAATGCGTTCAGCATTCAGAGACCAATCGTTCCCAAGCAATTGTCTACAAATTTTCCATCAAACGCCATTCAGCAGACCAGTGGATTAATGTAGCACTCACGGTTCTAGGTTGAACGCTGTCAGAAGATCGCTTGGAGTTATCGTGATCCAATTATCTTCCTTCATTTCCCGGTTTCAGAGCCATAATGTGAGGTCATTTCTCACCTTGTCTGCTTCATGCTTGCATACTCCTCTTCTTAGCTTGGAGATTGTTGACAAGGTAGATATCTGCCAGGTACATGAAACCTTGCTTTGCAGAGTTTTCGCTCACCATATTCTTCATATATCTCTCGAGGCTGACATGCAAGCATTCAACCGTGTCTTGTTCGAACGTAAGATTGCATTCTTGACACCTACACACTCAGTCAAATAAAACCCGCAAGGCTTGATCAACATTAGCTTACGCAAGTGTAAAAACTTTACATACCTTCGTTTTAAAGCATTTCGGACATCAACAATGGAAGGAAGTTCCAAAGATTCATCATACAGATCAGCGCCATCACCTTATTGATGCGATTGAGCAATACATCATGAATTCTCAAAGACATACATATTTTCCATTGTGTGCGATGGGTTTCGTGAGCATTCAACCAGATTGTCTCATGTGACGGGCGTTCCTGAAAATGGATAACAGTCATATTCAGAGCTCATCGATTTGACATGTCATACCACATCTCGGCGCTGCAAAATAGAGAGCTTCCCTTGTGCCCCCAAGGCATTGGCTTGGCCTGTTGCTACTGCATGCCCCTGTCTTTTTGTGAAATTTGGTTGCTTGAAGTAGCAATAGTAACCTTCTTCTTGGACTTCTTGTTTGGTCTATTACCGTCGAACCAAGAAAGATCAGATATTGCAATGCACAATTAATTTACACCCACCTTGTGGGCTCGGAATCATCAGGGAAAGGAGCAGGCACGACTTCAACCTCTGGCGGGTTCACTGTTCCTGGTGCAACTGTCGGAACCAACCTTTTCAAAAGCATCAGCCTGACTTACCGACAACAGCATTCTGGAATATTGCTCGGATGAGGTTGTTGTGGAGAGAAACATTGTCAGGGCCTAGAACTTCCCTTGCACTCACGTCGAGCTCTTCTTTGGACAGCCGAAATTGAGTGAAGCGTCGTACTATATCCCAGTAACTGGCGAAAGGCGACGAAATTGCGATCAGAATTTTTGAGATAGCAGCACAGGATAGCCATTCACCTCCTCATCTTCTCGGGTCCAAGAGCAATATGGATCTTCTTTCTTATCGCTCCCAAGTCCAGCCTGCGCATCTGCATGCCACCAACTAAGATAACATCTGCCATGCTGCTCAAATGCACGCTAGAGGATAGGCGGTCCCGGGGCCCGGCTGAACCCTCGGGAGCAGTTTGACTACTACTGGCCTTGGAACCACAGTTCACCGATGTAACGGTTTTCATAACGAGCTTCTCTCCCCTACGATTCTGTGCCTCTTCGCGTTGATTGAGAAGGCGATGGAGGGAAAATGAGAACGAGTGAACAAGTCGAGGAAGAAAGAGATCATGATGATGAAGAAGAAACCCTGAATGTACGATGACACAAGACTAAATATCTCTGCAGATGTCCAGAAACTTCACTTGGGCATCCTTGTCAACCCTTGCATTTTGCTTCGTTTTGAGCGTGATTCAGGTATCAATCTTGCCATCATTTCCTTGCGTAACATAACAATATCATGAAAAGATCATCGAAAATGGGAAGCTTCCAATTTCTATGACGCAGAAGGTAAATATTCTGCATCTTGCAACAATCATGGAGGTCCTGAAGGGAGGACGGAAAGGGGGCCCGGGAGGGGGGAGAGGAGGAGGGGGTTGAAAGGGTAGGGCTGCTCAGGAGAGCAGAATGGGGCAGGAGAGATGGTTGTTGGGGGGAAGGGGGGGAAGGGGCGGAGGGGGGAGGCTGCTGGAAGGAGGGAGGAAGGGGTTAACAGTAAGACGAGCAAGAGGCACGCCAGAGCCATGAGGCAGTCTGACACAACGCGTGTGATGGAGCAGAAACAGAAGCGAGTGAACGTCTGGCAACAGATCGGAGCCCAGGAGCCTTCTTCGGCTGCATCCAAGGTAAGCTGAAGGGGATGGAGGGCGGCAGGGGTAGGGCGGTGGAAAGATCGCAGGAGCGAAGAGGGGAAGGAGAAGTGGCCAGAGGCAAGGGCGCAGGGGAACGGGGGGAGATAAGGCAGGGCCCCGCCGGGGCAGCGTGGAGTGCGGGGAGCTCACATGACAGTCGAAGGATGGGGCTGGTGAGGGGGCTTACGGGCATGTCAGGTGATGACCCAGAACGATAACTTCGGGTATTGAGCAGGGAATCCAATCATTTCTGAATGTATCTTTATGATGGGTCTAGTTTGTTTACCTAGCTGTTTTCAGACCTTCAATATACCCTCCTTTAAAAGCCCTCAGATATGTTTCATTTCTAGGTGATTGAAAGTCACCCTCAAATTCATGGTATCTCATGTGGAGTCCGTTGCTTACAAGGAGTCCGTTGCCTACTCCGGTTACAGCGGCGCACTTTCATTTTTTCAACGGTTTCGTCACAGTGTCATGCCGCAGTGTCAAAGGGTTCTAGCAAGTAATAGTTGCGATTCAATCAAGCCTGCGCGGCCTGTCACAAAGCCTGCCCAGGCCAGGTGAGGCGGCGCCCGGAGGTGTCGGGAGCCTCGGACGGGCGGAAGTCGCTTCCGCTCTTCCGGCCATCAACGATCGTGGCCCAAATTGGCAATCAGTCAAGTCCGGAGTCCAGCCGATACTGTGATCGGACGCCTTATGCCGACCCGTTGCGCCCAGGGGCGGACGGGTTAGTGCAGTGAGGAAAGCCTTGAAATACTAGCTACCTAGACAAGCTGGCTACGGTAGCCAGCTTGTGGCCGGCCCGGAGCCTGTGGGTTCAAGTTACCGTGCCCGCACGGCGAGAAGAAAAAAGACAGCTTTTTGCCATCCAGTGACGGTCCGGGGGGGCCCTTATCCTGCCGATCGGACTGCGGGCCAGTGTCACGCGGCAGTGCGTCACCGGACTGTCCGACTGGCATCCCACCGTGACTGAGTACGACCCCGGGCCGAAACCCGGCCGCGGTCACGGCAGCGGTGGCACGGTTGACCGCGTACTGCCCCGGGACTCTGGCCGCCCCGGGCCAAGGGACTCAGCAGCTGTACGGTATCAACTCGACAGGAAGCGTTGGATCGACGGTAAGAAGCGTAGAGTACCGGTAGTGGTACTACGGTAGTTCCTAGGACCAGGCATCCCCTATCATCTGTACCACTGAACTTCGGAATCTCCTATCACCTCTCTTAATTCTCTGCGGCAGGCCGGCCCAAGCTCCATGGCACCACCGGGTACTGAGCCTCCGACTGATCGGACCGTACCGTCGGCCGGGCGGCCGGTAAAAAGTCACCCGTGACCGGACCGTGAGTTCAACCGTCCGGTAACAACTCTTTACTCAACTTGAACTCAAATTGATGATCAAGGCACAAGTTGAGTTAAATCAAGGCACTTCTTTTCTCAAAGTCGAGTTAAATCAAGCTACTCTTTACTCAACTGAGTTGAGTTAAATCAAGGCTGTTACTCAACTGGCAGTGGCAGTGACACCCGGTGACCGGGCCCGTGCCAAGGTCAGTGGCGGCTGGAGCGGCGCCTGCACGGGAGAAAGAACGACCTGGGCACAGTATTTTTTAATATTTTTTTACCGGTGCTTTGATAATGAATTTTGAGGTGAAGAATGGGGTACTTATGAACGAGGATATTCATAGAGCGTGAAAAGGAAGGAGACGTTCTGTACGTGGTATGTTGAGTGAAATCTCAAGCAGGATGGGCGAGCAGTTGAGGATCGCGTCATGTGCACCTTCGCTGCTATGAGATCTCTTGAACGAAATTTCTCCTTGAATGTCATGAGATTTCATTCCTAATCATGAACAAAGAAAGCGTTTTGCTGATAATCCTCTGCTTGCCAACGCTGATGTCCGATTATTTTTTACACGAAGAAGTATGTGCAAGTATGAGCACAGCGCACGGAAGTGCCATTTCACTGGCTACTGCAGGTTCCTTTCAAACTTTCAAGGTCATATCTCGGGACAGCAATACTTTTCAATCCAATCAAGAAATGATCAATTTATTGCAACTTTGCAAGGAAATTCAAGAACCTTTTTGAGTTACGTCATATCCAAGGCGGAAAGCAACGTCAGATACAAAGTACCAGAAGCTGGAAAAAGCCTCCTTGACGTCCAGACTCTAAAATGTAGAATGTGTTTGAATTATTTGGGTTTGTCTGATGGAGTTTTTGCAGGTGGACGACTCTGGGCCACGTTTTACGACGATTCATTTAGACATGTGGTCGGATCTCGGCTCTTTGATTTTGAAACCGCGTGCAAGCAAAGAACATTTCCAGGAAGTGTGAGATTGCAAGGATTCTTGAGAAATTTTGAATCTACCGAATACGTTTTCACGGCATCTGATGGTTCCATGCTATATCTTGACGGACGATTGATTATCCCTCCAGCCTCATGTCAAGGGCACGGTTGTAATCAGGGATATTTTCGGGTAAATCAAAATTTCATCTTGAGTCACTTCTTGGTTGTGACCTTCTTTCCAGATGCAAGGCTTGAGGTACTATACTTTTCTTTTCTACTTTCCAAATACTAGTTCCAGACATTTTTTTCTCAAATGGTTTCCAGAACATGGCAACAGAACAGCTACATGCATTGCGAATGAAAACTTTTGTTGTGCCCATGAGCACATTCTAGGAAGCCCATTTGTTGTTTCCGTCAAACAAAAAAATTCATCGATTGATTATGATGGCAATAGACAGATAGACATTTCTTGGTCTCAAAGACATCCTGAACGTGCAAGCTGGTTTAGAAATCTGATGAGTTCCTCGGATATGCAGCAGGCCTACAGTTTCTTCTCTGACGCTTCTACAAGAACTCCAAAGTTAAGCATCAGAGACATGGCACGAAACTTAATGATTCAAAGTGATTGTCCACAAACGATTATTTCCGGCAGATTTTGTCATATTTTCACTCTGTGGAGGATCATTGGTAGATTGAATGTTGCAATTACCGATTGCTTTCTACTGATTCATTTCCGAGAGTCTAGATTTTCTCCAAATTCTGGAATAATTCAGACGTCTGCCCATCGGATGTCGTGTAAAAATAGCACATGCAGTTTCAAGTGGTTGCCAGTTCGGCAAGGCACATATCATCTCTGGGTTGCCTTGAAAAATTCTCAAAATGATCTACTTTTTATCGATGGGAGCCCACTGAAAGTCAATGTGATATCAGTGATAGCTCGTCGGGAATCCTTGATTACCCTTGGATCTGGAGCTTCCCTGTTAACAGTCGGAGTGCCGAGCACATTTTGGTTTTTCGTTCGTGACTATTTTGGAATTAGTGATTCAGCTCATCATTTGTACAATTGCAAACTTTTGCTTGAACAAAGGCAAGCCGGATTCCGCAATTTTGTCACTTCCTCAGTATTTCAAGATTGCACTGAACTTCGATCACGAATGGAGTATACTTTTACAGTAAGTGGCTTTTACAGAATATCAATCTTTCAAATGATGCATCAAAGAGAGTACCCCTCTTTCAACATATATGTGTCTCCAAATAATAATGTTTCATCGGTCTCAGTAAGTTTGCCGAATTTGTCAACGCTCTTTGCAGGAAACAGTATCTCTTTCTGCTTGCTTTTCACTGACACCTTCGGAAATGAGCTTCAATTTCCAGAAAATTCTTGGAATTTGCACGTATTTTTGCGGTCTGCCGTTCATGAAGATTTCAGCATTTTGATGAAGAATACAATCTTTTGCCCATATCACATCGCATTTCGTTACAATTTAACAGGTTTAGTAGACCTGCACGTGAGATATCCAATCGGTACTGGAATTTTTGCGACATTCTATGTTACAGAATCCAGACAAGCATTACATTCTCAAATTGAACCTCATATTGATTTCAGTGGAAATTTGTTACAATCCTTGTTCCACTGCATTCCAATAGACACTGCATACAGTATCCGTTGGTCTGGCTTTGTCCGCCCTCCCCTCGCTTCAGTCTACACGATGTACGCATCGGTGAGGTCTTGGGTAGAGCGAGTGAGGCTTTGGGTGGACAACGTGATGCTGATCGATCAGTGGACGAGCTTAGAGGGTACGGAGAACAGCGGGACCATTTACCTGGGGACTGCAGGGGGGTACTACGACATTGTGATGGAGTACAAGCAACCGAACGGGACAGGGGGGCAGCAGGGAACTTCTTTGTCTTGGATTTATCCAAATTCGACAAGGGGAGTGTTAAATGCTTTGTTGGTTTTTTCAGAGAT